ACAGTCGGGGTACTGCGACTGTGTGTGGGGGGCTGCGCTCTCCGACTCCCTTGGCGGTCTCGCAAACACCACATGCTGCGCCTTCCCTTTCGTTCCTGTGTGTCGCTTGGGTCCTTTCTTTTTGCCTGCCCCCCTCCCCAAGTTCAGCAGCATGAATTTGCCAGGGTGGTCTCAGGGATGGGGTCGTGGCACGGATTAATCCCCTGGTGCTGCCGCGATGGGCTCTCCCGCTTCGCAGCAGCGATCTCTGCCGAATGGGTGAGGTCATTTAAGGCAAACTGTAGGAAGGGCAGGCAGGCTGCCGCTTAAGGGAAGTCTGCACTTGACTCGCTCGAAATCGCCCCCCCCCCTCCAGCTTCTCGCACGCTATACAAGAGCGGCTATATTTCGCTCAATGCTCTTTTCCTGGACGCACGATGCAGACTTTGTGGCAACGCCGTGCACTTCCGAATAGCGACGGAGAGAAAGAGAGGACGGGTGCGTTGCACAGTCATCCTTTGCCAGGATCTGCCGGCGGCAAACCCTGGCCAGGAACACTTCCGCCAGGCATCCTGGGCAGACGCGAGGGAAACCCGCTCCTGTCCCTTCCTAGAAAACTGTCGGGTTGCGGGTGGTTGAGACGGTATCCCCCCCCCTTCCGAATCTACCGCCTGAACTGGCTAGTGGGGCTCTTGAACGGCCTTGACAGGTAAACAACAACTGTTTAAAGATTATTTCGGCAGCACGTTCTCCCCACGCAAGAGTCGCACGCCACGTTGTGGAAGATCCGTTTGGGCCAGGGAAGAGCTTGGAAAGGAAACTCTGGCGCCCGTTTGCTTGTCATTCCGAGGACAATCGCGGAGGTGCGTGCGGAGCAAACAACCCGTCTTCAAACTGGCGAGTGAGCCGCAGAGGCAGCCCAGTTTTGAACGGGTGACGCCCCCCGCCCTGTGCGCACACGTCCACACCCCAGCCAGAGCCCTCGCCTCAGTTACGTCTGCGTTCCCTTGGAGCCGTGAGACCCGGCGAAGCGCCTCCTAGAGCCTGGCGCGTACAGCGGAACTGTCTCGGGTGCGAGCGGCGTGGCGCGTGCGTTTTCTTGGCGGCGGCGGCGCGAGCGCGTCCCACTTCCCCAGGTTCGGGCTCGTGCTGCTGCTGCTGGAGCCGGGCAGAACAGGTTTCTACCAGTTTGGGTGTGTGGCTGGCTGCTGCTGTGTATGCGCTGGAGACTCGTAATCTTCCGGAAGCTGAGCTCTCCTTGTTGCCGTGGGTAATGCTGATGACTCAGTGGGTTGGCGGTGGGTGCAACGCGCAGGGCTTAAGCTAACAGCATCCTTTCCTGTAAAGAGCCACGTGTGTTGCGAGTCTTTGTCCCCCGGCGTCAGCGATTTGCAGTCCCTGCCTTGAATCTTTGATTCTGTCAGCTTGCATTTCTGCTATTCCCCCCCCCCCACTTCCAATTTGTGTCTGAACCGTTTATTAGTGACGCCGTTTCTTTTATGGCTCTGGAACAAAGACCGCTTCGGTGGCATTATTGCCATCGCAGCTCTCTTGTGAATGTTACGCACTGGGCATGTACAGAAAACCAAGTTGTTCTTCATATTTGTTGTCGCACAGTCGAGTCCGACTCTTGGCGACCCCATGGACCAGATCACGCCAGGCCTTCCCGTTTTGCGCCGTCCTCTGAAGTTTGCTCAATTTCATGTTCGTTACATCTACGACAAAGTTAAATGCTTTTAGCACTTGGGGTACAGAGGTACCACAGAACGAGGTTAATGTGACCCAGATTAATCATAGTAATGACTTTCTGCTTTTATTAATGAAGGTGTAGGAGAAGTTAATTTTTCCCTTATACTTTGTTATGTAGTGTATGCAAAAGGATGATGGGTATTTAAAGGGAATTATTTATTTTACAGTAGAGTGTGTTCTAAGGAAGAACATCCTGACTATTAAAAAAACCTAGAGAACGTAATCCAATAACATCCCCTTTTCTGTGTTCTTACCTGTGTAGACAGAAATGGAGAATATATTGGAGGGGTGTGGGGGTGGAGAGGTATTGAGGTTTCTGTCAAAGTGTTTGTAGATACTGGTTTTACTCAAATGCAAGACTGTTCCACCCCCCAGGTACACCAACAACAACAAAAAGGGGGGTGTCTTAAATATGCATACAATTTACACTTATGTCTAATAATAAAAATCTTTTGTGTATAATTATTGGGGGTTGTCTTCCTTTTGTGGAGCTATGGTACTTTGTTCTATAATGAAAACAAATGTGCATCCCAATTATTAGAGCTGCATGAAGAAAGGAAGGCAATATTTACAACGGCTTTATATTTCTGGGATTTAGAGGTATTTGTTTTTTATGGAGTTAATATCCTACTCATATATTTATATAGAAATAACTAAAATCAGTGGACTGACTTCTGAGGAAATCCCCCCCCACACACACACACTGGGTGTGTTCAGACGTGCCGTTTGATCTGGTGTCATGACAGTTCAGCAACAGATTTTATATGCACGATCACACAGTCAACATCTACCTGCCGTCCCCAGCCATTGGTTTCCCGCTCAAAACCGCTTTAACCCGGAATATTTTGTTACCAGGTCCCAAAGTGGTGTTTTCTCAGCTCTCTCGTTTAAAACCACATTTCCCCCCTGTGTGATTGCTCCTCCAGTGTCAAGCCACTTCTGGTTTAAACCCCCTCCCCCCTCGAAAGCTGCCCGGAGCTCCACCACTGCGTTATTAAAACTAATGTTTAAACGGTGCCTAGTTTTAGTGTTCAGACGAGTTCGGGATCTCACGGAGGCCATTTTGGGGTAAACATTTAAAGGGAAGTGTTCCTTTAAAGTTTAAAGGGAAGTGTTACAGCAGTCGGGTTGAAGTGGAAATCGCTGTTCTGCGCACGCGCGAAAATTTTAGTTCTACAGATGGCTGCCTGTGTGCATGCCCAAACTGAGAGAGAGAAAAAACAACACCAACGCACGCTCCCACGTGTGGACAACAGGGAGCGATGTGGCTGCGTGCAGCGATCCGGAGCAAGGAGATGAGTGTGATCGTGATTCTCCAGGTTAAAAAAAACCGCATCAGGGCCTGAGCGATTTAAACCGCTCCCAGCACGCTGTCTGACCGCACCCGAAGAGTTCCAAAATAAGGAACATGAGAGATTGTAGGAAATGACATCTTCAGTATGTGTCCTTTATCAGGTTATACCACCCTTGTAGTCTACTATGTTGACAGCTCTTTGCTATTACAGTGCATCCCTTTATTTCTCATGAGTATTTCTGTTCCTGTAAAATAAGGAACAGTTCTTTGAAAGAAGGAACCATCAGCAAACTTTATTTATAAAATATGTATAAGCCCACCTTCTCCTCATCTCAAGGCCCAAGATAAGTAATTGAAGTCTACAGTTTTATGAAACAAACAGTAAAACAGTGGATTTAATAACGCATTAAAGCCAATCTAAAAATATCTTATGCCTTTCCACCAATAGGTATTCTCCTTTTTCCCAGACTCAGGTTGCCCTCAAAGCCCTCCAGAACAGCTGCTTTGTAGCCTTGCCAGAAAACCAGGGGTGTAGGAGCCCCCCCAAAAAACTCTTCCAGGAGGCTGTTCCAGAGTCATGGGGCAGCCATAAAAAATGCTCGAGCCTGGGCTGTTGCTGAACATGTTTCAGTCAAGGGGCCTACTGACAGAGTGCTGTGAAGAATGAATGGAAGAATTCAGGTGTGGTAGCTGTGTTGGTCTGAAGCCCCAGAACAAAGTTTGAGTCCAGTGGCACCTTTACAACCAAAAAAGTTTTATTTATGGTATAAGCTTTTGTGTGCAGTTCCTCAGATACAGTGGAACAGAACCTCCAACCATCATCAACAGCGTATTGATGAGAAACTACTCCAAATTGCAGGCAATCTCATTAAGGGGCCTTTGAAGGTGTGTGTGGAACAAGTTTTTTACATTGCTGAGACCAAACAGACTCGCACTGTTGACTTTCAAATACTTTGTGAGCTCTAGAGAATGAGCAAAGTCTTAAACTGCCAAAACTGACACCCTTGAGTAGTAGGGGTCCATTCTGAGGATTATAGAAGCCAGAGACATAATTGTGAATTTGCTTGATAAGTGCAGCAAGCATTAAGTTGAACTAGCTGAATAGGCTGTAGTGGGCAAATTAGATGAACGAC